AAACAAAAAAACTCCCCCTGCAGCAGACACTGCTGAAATACTTAAAAAAAAAAACAAAAAACAAAAAACAAAAAAAAAACTAAAACGAGCTTAATCTTTACAAAAGTTAATTAGCTCAAAAGCTATAAAATCAAAGTCATCTTAATTCTACAAAGGGGAGAGGGCCTTTGACTTCATGCCACCATTTCCTTAAAACCTCATCTTTTTTCATCAAATTTGGCCACAAATCAAATTTCTGTGTGCCCCTGTTTTCAGGAGATTCCTCTTGTTGAAGAGACCAAGTATAAACATGGAAGAGTAACTGCCTAAGCAAGTAGGAAAGTGTTCCGTAATAGTGTGCAAAGAACGTAGAGTTCTGGGTTAATCTCTGGAACTCGATCTGGACCTTGATCTTGACTTTGAGCGAGATCTAGAACGAGACCTTGAAGTAGCTCTTTTTGGTGGAGGGGACACAGAACGAGCCTTTGAGGGTGGAACGGGTAGGGGTGAATTGGAACGAGACTGGCTCCTTGACCTGGATTTTGACTTTATATCACCTTTTCCATTTTCTTTGGGGGATCGAGATCGAGACCTGCTTCGAGATTTCTCATACTCATCCTTAGATCTGCTTCGAGAACGTGAACGGGAGCCCCGATCAGACTTGGCCTTAGATTTGCTTTTTGATCTAGATTTCCTGCCTTTTGATCGAGAACGTGAGCGACCTTTGCTCCGCGACCTGGATCTGAACAAGAAAAGCCAGAAGTTTTTCAGTACCTTGTCAAAAACTACACGTACTTCACGAATAGGAATGGTATTATTTTTAAAAAAGAAAACCCAACATTATTTACCGGGAGCGACTTTTTGAGATACTTCGAGATCTACTGCGGCTGCTCCTGCGACTCCTACTTCGTGACCTTCTTCGAGATCGTGACCTATCAAAAATAAATAAAGGCATAATGAAATCTTAATCTCGATAATAGATAATATCAACACAAATGTGCCATTTAGGGGAAAAAAAAAAGATAAAGATAAAACCAAAATAAAGTCCTGTATTTATTTACTACAAAATTAAATCTACCACCAAATTATCTTGAAAACTTTCATTCATGTCCAATCACAAAGAATCCAAGAACTCACTTAAGTTCAATTCACCAACAATTAAATTAGTTACTTTTTCCTTAGGTGACCAATATTGCTTCCAACTGCCCTTGATGTCCTTCAACAAATTACCTGGATCTGCTTCCAGAATAAGATCGTCTATGGCTTCCTCGTGGCTTATCTTCAATAAGCCTAATATTCCTGCCATTTATTTCTGTACCATCCAGTTTATCCAAAGCACGCTTCATGTCAGAGTAGGAGCGAAACTCAATTACACCCTCATTTGTGCGTTCTTTATGAGCATCTGCATAGGTCACTTCACCTGCTTGCCGCATAAAATCCTGAAACAGTAACAAGACCGGTCAAAACCAGAAACCTAAAGAAAAAGGCCTACATACCATGGTCAAGCCTTGGAAATAAAGTGAAGAAAGAGCCTAGCCTTTAAACCTTACTCATATAATTTTTACACTGAATTATAGCACATACCTTTAAATCTTGCCAACTGCAGCGACTAGAAAGATTTTCTACAATAAGCCTGTACTCTGTACGAACAGGTGGTCCATATTTGTCCCTGCCAGAGGTTCTCCGACTGCTGTATCCACCTCCACCACCTTAGCACACGAAGGGAACAGTTAGACGGTTTGTAATGAGAGGGATGCATAACGTTTTTGAAAGTTAGTACAAACATATCAACTTTTATATACTGGAGTAGGACTTTTCTATTATATTGCTAAACCTTCGACACATTTGTGATTTGCCATAAATTAAATTAAGGGCAAGTCAAATAGACTATATTCAACTAAACCTCTCCTACAATCTGTTAGAGAGTGACTGCTCCTTTATTCAATTTACCTCGCTAAGTTTTATTTTACAGAACATTGTAAAATATAAAACTTAACCGATTACATGCATTTCTACATTTTACAAAAATGTTTACTAGTTACACTAAGTACTTACATCACAGTGTGAGGTTTTTGGTGGTGGTTTGGCCACAAAACACGCAAGGTAACAGTCACCTAGTTCAGATTAACCAGTTTTGTCTAACCCTTGGAATCCTCACCATCACCCTGCGTCTAATGGCAAAAGGCTGCTGTCGTCATGGCTTCCGGTAAGGTCAGCCAAAGGGTCATAGGGCAAGGGTCACACAATGTATGGAAAAGCCAAGGCCAATCAGGAAAGGCAGTCATCTTAGCCTCAGTGGACACAGCCTCAGCCCCATTGGTCACTTTTAAATTGAAACATCAAGGACTTGTTAAAAAGTTTGAATTCAACATGCAACAATTTCAACATCAAACATTTAACATAACCAAAACCCCCTCCCCCTCCTCCTCCCCAAACATGCCCCAACTAGTTCAAATACAGCATAAAGCTCATTCGGATCTACTTGTGGTACAACACCACATTAGTTTAAAACAGTATTTTCTACGGGCCCCGTCGATCCCACTGACCCTAGGATCCTAGACCTCAAGCCCCTCCCCTTTCCCCGCCCCCTACCCCACCTCCACCCCAACCAGCCCCCAAGCCTTCCCATTTCTAGCTAATGCACTGACAGGTAAGCAAGGGAAGATACAACAGATACAGCCATCCCTCACTTCCACTGTGGGCAGAGGCCACGACAGTGCTGACAAGGGCCCAGTAGAAGCCACCTCCCTCCCAACTTAGCAAATCCCACCCCCAGACAAAAACCAAAACAGTGTTGTCTACGGGCCCCGTCGATCCCACTGACCCTAGGATCCTAGACCTCAAGCCCCTCCCCTTTCCCCGCCCCCTACCCCACCTCCACCCCAACCAGCCCCCAAGCCTTCCCATTTCTAGCTAATGCACTGACAGGTAAGCAAGGGAAGATACAACAGATACAGCCATCCCTCACTTCCACTGTGGGCAGAGGCCACGACAGTGCTGACAAGGGCCCAGTAGAAGCCACCTCCCTCCCAACTTAGCAAATCCCACCCCCAGACAAAAACCAAACCCCCAGACCCCAGTCTCCGCGCTCCGGCGTCCCATGCCTATCCCGGGAAGGAGTGAGGGCGGCAGGGCCCAGGGTCACCCTAGTTGGAGGCCCTGCCACGCGGCGCCGCGGCCTTGGCCGCCTTCTTCCTCGGATAGTTCCCGCCGCTGCCGCCACCGCTGCCCCCGCCGGGCCCTGAGAGCTGGGCACGGACATAGGCGCCAGGCCTGACTCACCCATTTTTGAGGTCTACTTCGAGAAGACGGCCATAGCCACTGAAAAAACGCTGGATGTCCTTCTCCCGGACGTTGTAGCTCAGGCGTCCTATGTAGACGCGCGGCATGTCCGTGGCGGGCGGGGGCCCGAGGGCTGGCTGTCTAACAGCACACCGCAAGGCAGTAGCCGCGGCGCGGGGTGGCGAGTGCGGTGAGAGACCGAACACGCGCCTCACTCCGCAGCGGCGGCCGAGTCCAGCCACACAATGGTGCGCGCGCGCGCCAGGGCTACGCTATAAGGGCGGCCTCCGGAGGAGGGGCCAGGAGTTTGACGTCAGCGCGCAGCACGTAACGCTCGCGTCGGAACCCTGGGCTCAGGAATGACTTGAATTTACCGCCCTCGAGGTTTTAGCGAGTTGCAGTCTTGCTTTTCGAAAGTTGTACCCCACCCTTCTCACCCATCCTACTAAACACAATAACCTGTAGCCCAGCTGCGGTCTCGTCTTCTAATCTGTACCTTTGAGAAAAAACTTCCTCTGCTTGGTCTCTTGGAGGGCTGGAGCTTGAGAGGCAGGTTAGTCGAATCCCCATTTTCCATTGGTTCTCGAGGTTGTCATGTAGGTCACTGTGATTTCTAATTGGTCCCTTAAAAGGAGACTGCTCATTCCGCCTTCCGATTGGTTTATGCTCACTTTGGTTGCCCGCGCTCTCAGACGCGGTTGATGAGCTAGTTTCATCAAGCCAGAGGATTTCGTTCGGAGGTCGTGGTGACCCAGCCAGATTCATGTCGCGAACGCACAGTCCTGTCGGCTTCAGTCCTTGGGGGTCACACGCATTCTACACTCGTGCGCCTTCGCCGTCTCCCTGCAGGTTTCTCTTTTTGTCCAGGGATCTTTGGAGCCCTGACAGCTTGGGTCACCTGTGGATTGGTGTGTACGAGGGAATCCCATGCGCACTGTGGGTGTTCACGTGCCCGAGAAGGCCGAGCAACACTTGGCAGCCCAGCCCCCTTTGGAGAGCCCATCGTCCCAACACTGTCCTTTACCTCATTGGTTCGGAGGGCACACTGCTTAACTCGTGGCAGACTTACATTTGTGAGTTTATCAACAGAGACACTATTTAAAGCTGGAGAATTCGATAAAAACTTCAAAGGAGTAAGTTTTCAGCAGAGACCAGAAGGTCCTGGAGAATTAGATAAAAACTTAAAAGGAGAAGTTTTCAGTGGAGACCAGCAGGTTCTGGGCCATGCCCTGGGGTACTCTTAACATTTACGGAAGTGACAGGAAAGGAGATTGAGAAGGAGTGATTCCAGAATTAAGGCAATGACTAGGAGAGTATGGGATCCCAGAAGCTAAGAGAGGAAAAGGCGTCACAGATAATACGCGCTCCATAGGTGTTTCACAATTCCCACTCTTTTTCAGTGGTGCAGTCTCAAAGTCCTTCAACTAATGGTTGGAAAGGGAAGATTCCAGCCCCAGGGAGCACTTGGCAGAGTCTGCAGACATTGTTGTCAAGACTAGAGTGGGGGAATGTTAATATTGGCATCTAGTGGGTAGAGGATTGCTTAAAATTATGTAGATTCCATTAGGAATAGGTTTAAATGTTTTAAAAATATTCAGGGGATATGGTTATGGAAATGAGAATTCAACAATGCAATAACGTTTTTAATTGATTAAACTGTCCATATTTTAAAAATTGTCATTAAGATTCATTATCTGGGGGCAGGCAGGAGGTATGTGGTGGTTAAGGGCACTGGACCCCCACGTGGCCGACCGCAGTTTGAGTCCTGAACCCGGTGACTTGCTGCTCTCTCACTCTCTCTCCCCTCTTCTCCCCCTTCTGGTCAAATTGAAGTGGATAAATAAATAAGATTAATTATCTGCAAGAAGTAAGTCCGGAAATATCTTGCACATGGTGTTAGCGGGACTGAACAGTCCTTTCAGAAATGGGGTAGTAATTATTTTTTTCTTTTTTGGGGAGGAAGTTTTTTTTTTTTTTCTATAGGGTGCGTGCACTCGCCAGAAAGATAGAGACAGAGAGACAAAAGCACGAAATCTCCCCCTGGGGGGATGGTCACACCGCAGTCCCTGCTCTGTTCTCTTGGAATCTTGGGCACTCACGCATCCAGCATGAGTTAAAGCCATCAGGTCCAGGACTCAAACCGTCGTCTACTACATGAAAGTCCAGTAACATAGCCGTTACACCAACTGCTAGTCCCAAAATGGGGTAGTTATTAAAGGGTGTTTGTGGTGAGTGGTCTGCTGCCTCCTTGCTCCTTTTTTTTTTTTTGGAGAGGTTTTTTGCTATAGGGCGAGTGTGCTCGCCAGACAGACAGACAGAGAGAGACATAGAGACAGAAAGTGAGAAATCACCCCCCAGGGTGGATGGTCACGCCGCAATCCTTTCTCCTCCATTCTCCTCTCGGGATCTTGGGCACGTAAGCACACGCGCCCGGCGTGAGTTTTAAACCACCAGGTCCGGGACGCGAACCGCGGTGGACTACGTGGGAGTCCAGTGACATAGCCATTATGCTAACTGCTGGTTCCCGTTCCTTAAAGTTCATTTGCCTGAAGAGAAAAAAGCAGTTAATATCATCTCCTCTCTTCCTTTCACTCTCTCAGCAAGACTCCTCAGAATATTAATGGTTCAGCACTCCCCTCCATGTTGATAACTTGAGACTCTTTACTTTAGCTCTTTGTTTTTTTGTTCAGAGGAGCAATTGGTAGGGTGCCTGCGCTCACCAGAAAGACAGGGAGAGAAGAGACAGAAAGCAAGAAATCACTCCCCAAGGGGGATGGCCGTGCTATAGTCCCTTCTCCATTCTCCTCTTGGGATCTTCGGCATGCACATACACTTGCCTGGTGTGAATTTTAAACCACCAGGTCTGGGACTCGAACCACAGTTGACTACGTGGTCGTCCAGTGACATAATGGCCATTATGCCAACTGCTGGTCCCAATATTTTGTTTTTTTAAAAAAGTATTTTTTAGGGACCAGCAAATGGTGTAATGGTTCACTGCCGGATCCCCATGTGGTTGATCCTGGTGTAGTTGATCCTGGTTTAAGTCCCAAACTCAGTGTCTTGAAACTTACGCCCTGAATCCGGAGAGGAGAATGGGGGAGAAGGGATTGTGGCATGACGGTACTCCCGGGAGGTGATTTCTCATTTTCTGTCTCTCTGTCTCTCTCTTGTCTCTCAGGCAAGTGTATGTGTTCTATAGCAAAAATATCTCTCAAAAAATAAAGTATTTCTAAAAATCCATTTTATTTATTTATTTATTTAGAGAGGTTTTTGCTATAGGGCGCATTGCGCTCTCCAGAAAGACAGAGAGAGACGGAGATAGAAAGGGAGAAATCACCCCCCCGGGGGATGGCCACGCCAAAATCCCTTCTCTTCCATTCTCTTGGAATCTTGGGCACACACATGCACCTGGCGTGAGTTTAAGTCACTGGGTCCAGCACTTGAACTGCGGTCAGCTACATGAGAATTCAGTGACATAGCCATTACGCTAACTGCTGGTCCCAATTTAATTTATTTTTAAAATTGTCCTAGGGTGCTTGCATTTGCCAGAGAGAGACAGCCAGAAAGAGAGGGAGAAAGCACCTTCCAACAGGACATGGTCATGCCACAGTCCACTCTCCTCCATTTCTCATCCCACCAAAATTTTAGGTGCGTGCATACACAGAACAGGAAATTTTTTCTTTTCTTTTTTTTTTTTAAAGAGATTTTTGCAGGACCAGCAGTTAGCATAATGGCTATGTCTCTGTACTCCCATGTAGTCGACCGCGGTTCGAGTCCTGGACATGGTGGCTTAAAACTCCACGCTGGACGCGTGGGCC